AGTGCTGAAACCTGAAGATCATCATCAAGTTTAAGGGCCTTTTGAAACTCAAGCTCTTATTTCCTAATTTTTATAGTCTCTGTCCTGCAAATGACTTAATTGCGTGATTTACACGACACATGTCAGAGCAGATCATGTTTTTAGACCCCTGTAGACATTGTACTGCTTTTGACCCCACAGAAATACACACTTCCCTTCTCCAGAGTTTACACACATGATGATGAATTTATTCTGTGGAATATTTTATTTTATTATTTTATTTTATTTGTATCTAAATACAACTCCATACTATCATGGTCCCATTGAGGCATGCTGTATTCATGCATCAGTGTGTAATCATGCCTGAAGACCCCAAAGCACACTGGGTAATGTTGGTCAAAAGTTTTTTTAGGTTTTAAGATGAAAGAGTGGCTGCAATTTGCTTTCAGGCCCAGAGAACAGAGGCACAGCGAGATTGGCCCATCCTTGGATCCTGTCCAGCATTTCCATTAAAGTCTCTCATAAGAGCCCATGGAGAGAAAACACAGGCGATCAGTTATTGCTCAGTGTGCCTTAAAGGAAAGACCACTGCTGAGTTACGACTCCTACAGGAGGGTCCCGCATTCACCACACACAGACCAGTACAGCAGAGCGCATTCTAATATAGATAACACTGTCCTCTGTTTTAATGGATTACATTTGCCTGCATGAATAGCTGCCCTTAATCACAGTAAGCCCACCAGAACCAGAAAACATTTTCACAGTACAGGGGGTTTTGTTGTCTATTCTTTGATGGCATTTTACACTACTTGACTCTAAGATCTTGGCTATTTTTTTTTCATTTTTCTTCCTTCCTTTCTTTCCTGATTGCTAATTATACTAAAAAAAAAAAAAAAAATACCATCGTAATACCGTTTTTTCATAATGGTATTCATAATATCATTGGACCACGCCCCCCCCAAATACACTACCGTTGTACTATCTATCTATCTATCTATCTATCTATCTATCTATCTATCTCTCTATCTATCTATCTATCTATCTATCTATCTCTCTATCTATCTATCTATCTATCTATCTATCTCTCTATCTATCTATCTATCTATCTATCTATCTCTCTATCTATCTATCTATCTATCTATCTATCTCTCTATCTATCTATCTATCTATCTATCTATCTCTCTATCTATCTATCTATCTATCTATCTATCTCTCTATCTATCTATCTATCTATCTATCTATCTCTCTATCTATCTATCTATCTATCTATCTATCTCTCTATCTATCTATCTATCTATCTATCTATCTCTCTATCTATCTATCTATCTATCTATCTATCTCTCTATCTATCTATCTATCTATCTATCTATCTCTCTATCTATCTATCTATCTATCTATCTATCTCTCTATCTATCTATCTATCTATCTATCTATCTCTCTATCTATCTATCTATCTATCTATCTATCTGTCTGTCTGTCTGTCTGTCTGTCTGTCTTTGTCTGTCTGTCTGTCTGTCTGTCTGTCTGATTTATTTATTTTTATTTTATTTATCTTGGCTATTTTTTTTTTTCATTTTTCTTCCTTCCTTTCTTTCCTGATTGCTAATTATACTAAAAATAAAAAAAAACTACCATCGTAATACCGTGTTTTTTCATAATGGTATTCATAATATCATTGGACCACGCCCCCCCGTTATTAAAATAAATAAAAAAACTTACTGACCCCAGACGTTTGAAAGATAGTCTACATATAAATGTGATTGTAGAAGAATTAGGTTATATTTCAAAATACCATGGGTTTAGCATCTGATAGACAACAATAACAATAAAAATAAAAAAAAATAAAACATTTAAGTGCCATATTATTTTTTAGGCATGTACAGTACAATTGTATTAATTTTAGTATATTGAAGTAACATATAAAACTATGGGATTATGTGGGAACATCTCTCACCCCTACATGTACCTTCATACACACCCCCTGTCAGTGCAGTGTTTTCAGTAGTGAAGTGTTGGCATGAGTTGTTGTCTCTGCTGTGAAACTGAGCAGCGGATGGGCGATTGATCTAATAACATAAATCGTCAGCTCCATCTGGTGCTGCTTGAGCCCGCCAGACTTGAATGTTTGGTTTTGTGATGCGTGAAGACCTGGTCTGCCCGTCTGGTGTGTGGTACTTTGAGGCGCACAGCAGGCTATTGTTTTAAATCAGTGGACTCTTTAGTCACAGTCTGAAGTGAGAGGCACACTACATCAAACCGCATGTGTCGAAAAAACAGGTCGTGATTTACAGCGACTTAAAGGAACAGTTCACACAAAAATGAAAATTTGCTGAAAATTTACTCACACTAAAGCCATCCATGAAGTAGATGAGTTTGTTTCTTGATTGAAACAGATTTGGAGGAATTTAGCATTACATACTTGCTCACCAGTGGATCCTCTGCAGTGAATGGGTGCCGTCAGAATAAGAGTCCAAACAGCTGATAAATACATCACAATAATCCACAAGTAATCCACACCACTCCAGTCCATCAATTAACAGATTGTGAAGTGAAAAGCTGCATGTTTGTAAGAAACAAATCCATTATTAAAGGGGTCATATGATGTTGCTAAAAATAACTTTTTTAAATTATTTTGTGTATTTGGTGTAGTGAAATGTTTATGCGGTTTAAGGTTAGCGGGCTTGAGAACAGCGCGGCCAACGGATTCGACGAAGGAGCGTCCGGAGGGCTTGCGGCAACAACATGTGTATGTGGGGCGTGTTAGAACGAGCAGTTTTAGGTAGGCGTGGCTGACTCTTAACTTTTATAAAGAATATCTCTTTGGATTTGAGACTTTAGTCTTTGCAACATTACAGATCTTCTTTATGCACCAAGAGCTTGTAACACTCCAAAGAGAAAGGAAAAATTTTAATCGCATCATTTGACTCCTTTAAGATACTTTAACTTCAAATGAGTCCTCTAGCCATAATATTACTTTGTAAAAGTTGTCTCATCTGAAACAAGAGAAATATGCAAAAATCAAGCATCGTTTATAAGCGTAAACAGTCCAAAAGTGTTTTAAACTAAATTTTTTCACTGGAGGAAGCTTTATTATGGTGTTATGAACTGGTATAATTGGCCAGAAGTGATGGTTTAAAGTTAAAATGCCTTAATGATGGATTTGTTTCTAACAGACACACAGTTTTTCACTTCACAAGACATTAAATGATAAACTGGGCTTGTGTCAATCAGTTGTGGATTATTGTGATGTTTTTATCATCTGTTTGAACTCTCATTCTGACGGCACCCATTCACAGCTGAAGATCTATTAGTGAGCAAGTGATGTAATGCTAAATTTCTCCAAATCTGTTATGATGAAGAAACAAACTCATCTACATATTGGATTGCCTAAGGATGAGTACATTTTTAGCCAACATTTACTGGCATAGCACAACTTTGATCTTTATTACCGCCTCATAATAGATTGTGTTTGGCTTTCATACTTTTCTCTCATAAAGAATCCTCAATAGATTTCACTCAAACTCAGTGTGGCCCTGGGTTACAGAGCACCTTTCAAATCCTGCTCTGATGTGGCCAGGCAAGGACATCTTTGGAGACTTTGCTGATGGATGTGGCCATGGCTTACTCTGAAATTGTATGCCATCTACAGGAAGGGTGACATGGACTTCAGAGGCTGGAACTTCATATAAATGACCAAGCAGCCGGCACAGAACTGCTGGATTGTGAAGGTCTTGTGTCGGCAATCTGCGAGGCATTTATCTTCTTGACTGAAATTACAGAGTTCAATTTATTTTTGCTTTGTCTCCTTCGTCTCCTTGTAGTCAGGGTCAGTAAATATCAGAAATATATATATATATATATATATATATATATATATATTTATTATTATTATTATTATTAATGTAATACTAATATGTACAGAGCCATTCAAAAGTTTGTAAGACATGATCACATACATCTCTTTGCATTACACAGCATTGAAAAGGCTACAATGGCTATTGAAGTCCAGCAGCAGCTGAATCGGAGCTTAGAGGCCTTGATGGATGTTTCTAAGGCAATTAACCTCCAATAGTGTTTGTTTGTGCTTTGCAACATATGTTGGGTGCTGCTTAATGAAATGAAGATGAAAATCCTTTTGTAAATCAGTGGAATTAGTGTTTAAAGCTCTTAGTGCTTTAAGCTGATGGCCTCAGGATGTTTCTAAAGAACTTTGCATAATGCTTTCCATTACACTAACGTGAGCTGCCTAATTTAGTATGCAGAGTGAGTAGGATCTTATGACGGCAGCTTATGATGCGTTTATTTCTGTGTGAGAGAGAGAATACCTGAGTCTGCGTTTGTAAACATCATTTGGCATTATTAATAGTCTCTAATAGTGCCACACTTCTAGTTTCACATTTCCATATCATCTGCTCCAATCAGTCAAGGATTAATATCGTTGACTAATTAACAATAATATTAATGCTGCGTCAAATGAGAATATCATCGTGATAAATCTCTCCCTGGCTGGGTGCAGATGGTAGATTAATTTACCTGACAATAAACATGTGCTGCAATATGCCAGAGAACCAGAACCACAAAACAGGCAGAATTTTGCCTATTTATAGGGGTTTACAATAAAAGAGTGATAAATTGATTTAAAATGATGTTATTTTGCCCAGAATAAAATGTTTATATAAAAATAGGTTTTAAAATTTTTTTTTTTTACATAATTGTTGTATTGACCAGCATACCATCACATTCATTCTCTTTCAACTACTCTACTGCCACCTATGTCCGTTATGGTTACTGCAGGCAGTAATTGACATCTGGAATGAATCCCAGAGCATTGTTGATATGAGTTGTTTCAAAATAGAGTTCCCAGTTGCTTTGTTTGTAGACTCAATAATTCTTACAACCAGCTTTTTTTATGTAAATCAAATCCAAAATTATTTTTTACGTCATGTGTTGCTTGTATATGCAATCATTTGTCTTTGCATGTTCACTGCTTACACTAATATGTCTGTATTAATCATCCATAGGGCCTTTTATCTGGATAAATCGAACCTTCCCCCCAGCTCAGCTCCCAAAGCAGCCTTCATAGACAAGGTATGTGCTATCACTTACTATAGGATCTGCAGGGACTTGTGAGAAGTCTGTGTTTATGGCAGTACAGTGAAGCTAGTTATTTACTGAATGCATTTATTGATTCTTAATAATGAAAAGAGGAACCTGCTGAGTTAATGCCATTTATGTCATTAATTGCTCACCTTCATGTCATTCCAAACCCATATGTTCTTATTGTTTCAGTGAAACACAAAAGGGGAATTTTCAAAAATCTTCACACAGCCACTCAACAGTTCAGTTAAGAATGACTTGTGAGTCAGCGAGTTGAATTCAAGAAACAAATCAGTCCAGTTTGCAAATTCTTTGTTCTTTTGAGTCAATTATTTTAAATAAACCAGTTGATCCAGTTCACAAACTAGGCTGAATGATTCATTCAAGAATCGGACTCATTCAGTCCTCGAGTTCAACTCGCTGATTAAATGATCCAGTCACAGCAGTTCACAAGTCAACAGCTCACTTAAAAAGATTTCACACTAAGCCATCGTAGTACTTTAGATAACTTGAATTATAGAATACAAATCAGCTGAACCTCTCTTATTTATTTATTGGTTTATTTGTTTTTAGTTTTTTATTCATTTGTTCATTCATTCATTCATTTTTGCTTGGTCACTATGAACTGTCATTGTTTGGAAAAGCATTCTAGCTGATTTTAGATGTTAGAATGTTTCCTTTCATGTTTCACGGATGAAGGCAAATTATATGTACTCTTAAAAATAAAGGCTCTTTATTGGCATTGATGGTTCTATGAAGAAACTTGAACATCCATGGAACCTTTGCATTGCACAAAAGGTACTTTAGAGTGAAAAAATGGTCTTTGGATTATTAAATGTGCCTTATACTAAGAAAAAATTGGTTCTTCTATGCTATCGCTGTGAAAGTCTTCTACTGGAACTTTTATTTTTCAGACCGTGGGTTTGGAACATCAGAGTGTGAGTGTGATGAGAGAGTTATCATTTTTGGTTGAACTATTCCTTTAACATGTAATGTTATTCTTTTTCTTTTGTAGCTGATGCGTCCTCTGAATGCCCTGGATGAGTTGTATAGACTGATGGAAAGTTTTATCTCGTGTCGACGGACGGCTGCGTGCCAGTTCACAGCCTGTGGAGCGTCTGGAGTCGGGCTGCTCACCGTGGCCTCGGAGCTGTGCAGCCGCCTGGGAGCTTGTCACATCGTCATCTGTAACAGCGGAGTACACCGGTCAGCCTGGGTTACACACACATACACTCACACTCCTCCTTTCCCTTCTGTCCGACAGGCATCAGGCATTCGCCAGGGACGCTGTCTAAGTGGAACGCTTCTGTTTTTTCCCTCCCCTCTCTTTTTTCCTTTCTGTCTGTAGCTCGGAGCAATTTACTTCCTGTCACTTATGTCTTTTATCCTGTTTTCCTCTCTGCAGCCTCAATCTTTCTTCAGTTTTGGCTGGGTTTTTTGGGTTTATCTCGGTGGTTCTGCTGCAGTCTTTCTCTTTTCAGTCTCTCCTCCTCGTACCATCTAATATTCAATTTCCTCTTTTGTATGAATATGTAATAATCCTCATTACATGCTCATGTATCATTCCATAAATACACCTTTCTCTGCACTAATCATTCATCCAAAGCAATTATGAATATTCAGCGTCTCAGTTCTACATTTAGAAGGTCTCGCTTAATCTTTTCAGAGATGGTCCAGACAGCTCTATTTCTCGAAGGGCTGATTTGTGAATCTCAAATGAAGGGACATATTTTATTCAATTCACGGCCACTTTTAGTATCACCAAGAGCTGATGTACTTACTTCATGAAGCCAATATTTCAACAGTTCTTTTGTTATTCATTTTCAGTTTCAAGTGTCTCTGTGTATCCTTGCAGTGCCTTTCATAGGCCTTATTATAAAAGGCAGCACTATATTGTTATTCTGTAAATATTCAGGTTTTGTTGGAAAAATTTCACTATCATTCAAAAGTCTGGTTGTGGTATGATTTTTTCTAACGTTTCTTTAATTTTAATTCTCTTATTCGGGCCTAGGCTGCATTCATTTTATCAAAATACATATTACAATTAATATTATTACAATTTAAAATATTTTTCTATTTTAATATATTTTAAAATTGAATTTATTCTTGTGATGGCAAAGCTGAATTTTTAAGCCATTACTCCAGTGTCACATGACCCTTCAGAAATCATTCTAATATGCTGATTTGCTGGCCAAGAAACACTTCTTCATCAATACTGAATAGTTGTTCTGCTTGATATTTTTGTGGTGACTGTGATATACAGTAGTCAACATTTGAAGTGGATCAAAACCTTTCATCAAAGTTGTCCTAAAACCCAAAACCAAAATGCGTTCTTGTCTTACGACAACTTTGGTGAACTTTTTTTGATCCACTTCAAATGTTGACAACTGTATACCTTTTTTTCAGGATTCTTTGATTAGTACAAAGTAAAAAAAAATAGCATTTATTTGAAATGTGTAAAAGTCAGTTTAACTTTTTAACTTTTGATCAATTTAATGCACTTAAATAATTTTAAAAACAAAAATCTCACTGACCCCAAACTTTTGAACAGTGGTATATATTACACTGATTGAATATTCAGCATTCAAAATGTAACCACCAATGATGACATCATCAAAATAGTTGCTTGCTGAAGTTTGGTAGGTTTTCTTTCAATCCATTGGTTGAATCTGAATTGAATTGGCCACACTACACAGGAAGTTGAACTGGAATTTGAATTGGAATAACAGAAAGTGGAATTTCCTGAAGCACAACAGGTAATTGCATTCTTGGAAGTGAAGTGTTCTTCCACCCCAGTCCGTAAAGCGTTTTTGATCTTTGTCCAGCATTATTTAGTTAATTAGTTAGTTTAAAATTACACTTATGGAAATATGAATTTTTTTGGAATTTCATTTGAATTCTTAAATTCACATTTTAATTACGATTCTAATGTCTGTTTACTACATCAGTTCAAGCACAATTGAAATTCAGAAAAAACATTCTGAATAGAATTCTGAATGGCACACAACCATGGCATTTGCCCCATTATTAATGCACAATCTCAATGGACAGCAGAGTTTCTTAGGCACTGAAATTTGTGCTCACTTTTCTTAGCAAAATTGCAAAGTTGATTGGAACTGTTTTTGAAGTGCAAGGTCAATTCTAAAGATGACCAGTTGGATTTTAAATCTAGTTTTGACTGGGCCACTAAAGGAAATCACCCTAGTTGTTTCAGTGTGGGGTTTCTTGTATGCTTCGGGATATTGTTCTTTTGAAAGATTTACATTTCTTGCTGCAGTCTTTCTGCTTTCTATTTTTCTCATCTTATGAGTTTTTCCTGTTGTTTCTTACATCACTGTCTGGAGGGCTGCGACTCTTTTAGATTTGATTTAAAATTTGTATAGGCCTCTTGCCGGCGTCACTTACTCCAGCTCTCTTTGCCTGGATACTGAGCTTTGGAGGACAGCCAGTTCTGAGAAGACTTACATTCAGTCACGTTTGTAAATAGGAAGCTTTACAGTGTGTTGAGATATATTCATTGGCATCATTTTTTAAATCCTTGCCCTAACTGGGAATTTTCAAGACCTTTGTCACAAATCTGCTTGGAAAGATTGTTCACCTTCATTTGACCAAACAGGGGTGTTCCTAGAGAGGGTGAGCCAATTTGCTATAACAACTACTCAACAAAAGCAACTGCATAAAAAAATGCCAAATCATGGCTTTTTTTTCTTCAGAGAAATTTGCTTTTATTTGTCATTTAATTTGTAAATTGTTTATGTGTTGTTGTTTTGGCATGAATAATAATTCTCAGGATGTGAAAAAGAGCAAGAGGGTGTTGACTTTTTATTGGCACTGTATGTTGCTGAAATGGTATTTCAATCTCAATTTCAAGGCCTGACACATGGCAACAGACGCACATGCATGCTGTTCTTTGAGTGGCACTTTACTGCAGTGTATTGGATAAAAGCAGCATGAAATGTTCGCTGCAGTGTGTGTGTTGGTTTGGGTGTGACTAACTCACATTTGTACGCCAGGGCAATTACAGGCCACATCTCAGCTTTTGTGAAGCCGCAGGTGCTCAGACCTGCCATGGTTACAGTGAATTCAGTCTTGTTTACCCCTCTAAACATGCCTTCATCAAACAAATGCTCTCTTTATTTAACCTGCTTTTGCTCATAACCAACTGATAATTCCAGATAATTCTGGGTAAAACATGGTTTGGGGAATATTTTCATATTTATAGTTTGTTTCAAGCCCATTTTTCTCAATAGTATAGCTAAATTGAAGTTGCGTTAAATAGGTTTAGGCAGGAAATGTGTTGTACTGCTTGTAAGATGTATATGAGAGTTGAATAATTAATTCCATAGAGTAGAATTTCAGATGTGGTTAACCTGGCATAAAGTGATTGTTCACCCAAAAATGAAAATTGTCATCAATTACTCACCCTCAAGTTGTTCCAAACCTGTATGAGTTTCTTCTGTTGAGCATAAAAGAAGATATTTTGAAGACTATGGGTATAACCAAAAAGTTGATGGACCCCATTGACTTTCATAGTATGGAAAAAATACTGTGGAAGTCAGTGGGGATCATCAACATTTTGGTTACTCACATTCTTCAAAATATCTTCCTTTGTGTTCAGCAGAAGAAAGAAACTCATACTCCTTTTAATTATTGGGTGAATTATCCACATAATAAAACACCCAGTATGCATGATATGCAGAGCATCAGTGTTTCGTAATGTGCTCCTATTTATATACCCTTTTGTCTGCCAAACAGCCTCAATCAACAAACAAAATGTGCCTATTTCTACTTTTAATAAAATTAGTTGCAGAGAGGCACAAGCTTTGCTTTAAAGTACTCACCTGCCAAATGCTGCTAAAGTTAAGTGAAAGCTGATGTCTATTTTATTGCTAAATTTCTTTCACAAAGGTGTTGCAGAGGTCCGATTTCAATATAAAGTTGTTCTAAATTTACTGGTTCCCCCCAAAGTGGGAGAGTAAGAACACAGTTTAAAGTGGGCATGTAATGTTTTGAAGTACTGTAAATGAGTTCAGTGTAAAATGAAAACACTGTGGCTTTCAGAACAACATATTTCCTGAACTTCCTTAGCTTTTTGGTGTCAGACATAATGTATTCATATGTCAGTGACACCAGCATTGTTCAGAAATATGGCAATGCGGTGATATAAACTAAATAGGATAGATACTATTAACTATAAAAGTAAAATGTGTGAAAGTCCCCCAAACTTTGTGCTGTTTCTGGCTGTGTGTATCACTGCACATCCTTTCAAAGTGTTAGGAAAGAGAAGCTGAAGTTATTTTTAATAAGGTTCAAAATCATTTTAGTTCAATTTTAACAGTTTGTGAAGCACATTTCAGCACAAATTATGTTGTGGAACTGTAACACTGTAATGCAGGCTTTGACTTTTTAGGGATGAAGCGCTGCAAACTTTATTGAACCCAACTGTAAACCCAAAAGGCTTGAAAAACTGCATTATGTACTAACCTCATAAGTGGACCTCATAGTAAAAAACAAACAAACAAAAAAAATATATATACATACACAGTATATATGTAATAGTTAAATTCAGTAACATTCTTTTTTTTAGTGTACTTCAACCATCTGTCCTGCTCTTGGAGCATAAATAGTTTAATGAAACATTCATGGGTCTCTACAGAGCTCCATAAACGTTCTCAAATAGCTTCATCCCCAACTTGGGATATTTAATCTTTCATTATATAGATCTATTATGACCAATATCTACTTTCACTCCCATGTGTAGTCTCTCTCGTCCATCTGTCCATTCCCAGAGTCACATTTACAGTAAGTGTGTAAATCAGACATTCACATCTGCTGGTTGTAGGTTGCTTAATGTGTAGCGTATAGCAGTCCTCCCTTAAGAATACCAGACACATTTGATGAGTCTCTTCCACATTTTGTACGTCAGTAGAAGAGTTCAGAACACTTATTTTATAAAGAGGATATAAATGCCGTCACACAGGTATTGCCTTAGGCCAGCTGGCTCAGTATTAAGCCAGCTTTGATTCGCTATGGCTGATATCACATCGCAGTGTGTGGCTCCCACCTTTGCTGTGATGGCACAGCATTTCTGATCTTCCCCATAATTGTGTCTCACTTTAAAAGACTTGTACTGATGTATTGGAAAATGTAAGGATTCATTCACCAAAAATATGTAAATTGTGTCATTATTTTTATAAGACTGTTTT